GTCTCAGTTGTAACTAGTTATATTTAGTTGTAGAATTATAACAAGTTTTATATGTAACTATAGCTAATTATATATATGCATAACTATAGTTGATACACACACAGCAAACTATTTTATCTCTATAAAACTCGTTATAACTAAGCCCAACTCCCAGTTTATAAAAAGCTCTTACAGGCATAACTTTCATAACAGCCCTGCCAGGTAGGTCATTGCAACGCCATTTTTCAGAAGGGTAAACTGAGGCCTGGGGAGCTCGTGACTGCCGAGGACTCTCAGCTGAGCAGGCAGAGCAGGGACTCCAGTGCAGGCCTGTCTGACTCCACGGCCTGTGAAGGGAGCCCCTCAGGGTGGAGCAGAGGCTGAAGCAGCCCCTGTGGCAGGACTCCTGTGCCCCTTTGGGGCTGCGCTTGTCACCTGTGAGCCTTTTCAAGACCCTCTCAGAATCTGAGACTGAGACACCTGGACTCAAGTGCAGCTCAGAGAAGGCTTAATGGAAGAGGGACTCGGCTCCTGGTCCTCAGAGGGTGGGGATGGGGGGGGAGCACCCAGGTGAGGAGGGCGGTGCCAGGCAATACAAGGTGCAGGGCAGGGGGCCCGATTAGCCCTGGAAAGGGCAGCTGGTGCAGACTGGATCTGCCCCGTGGGCAGCGGAGGGCACAGTGCTGTGGTGAGTGGGGACACCTGGTGGCTGTATACAGGGCCAAGTGGCCAGATCACTGGGCACCTCTGTCCCGGCTGAGGGCTGACTCCTCTGGGCCCTGTCATCCTCTTGCCCGCCTCTCTGTCTCACTGTCCCCATGGCCATCCCACTGGGGCTCCCGGAGAATCAGAAGAGCCGGCAGAGGCAGGATTGGACCTTCAGACAAGGTCTGCACCACCAGCAAACACTGTCCCCAAGAGCTGGCCTGTTCTGCACATACCTGCCCCAACTTCTGCATCTTAACTCCCAGTCCCCCCATGACTTTGACCTGAGTGCTCCATCCCCTTTGGGGGTGCCATCTGTCCGACCCTGGCCACGCTCCCTCCTCTGCTCTACAGACTTTAGGGGCCCCTCCCACTTCCCCCCAAGACCCAGCCTGCGCCCACTCGGGCACTCCCGCGGCTTGTCATGGCCCGTGCTCCGGTTGTAGCTGAGGCTGCCTACCCCTTTCTGAGCATGCGCCCTGGCCCAGGGAGGCAGAAGGCCGGGCAGCCGCCCAGGAGGGGGCTGCTGAGATGAACAGATGGGGAAACGGAGGCAGACGGCGCAGGCCTGCGGGGCACGGGCGCCGAGGGAGCTCCGTGGTTGACCAGACGTGCGCGATGTTCCTCGTGGCCCTTTCTGTCAACCTCCGCTCCCAAAAGCGTGGAGGGGTCCGTGGGACAAGTCTCCTGGGGACTGAGACTGAGGAGAAGGGACTGAGGCCCAGTTTCAGGAAGAGCAGGGCCGGCAGGACTGGGGTGCGTGTCCTTGGCTGAGCTCCCCGAGCTGGGCCCTGCGGGGCCGGGCAGGGGCCTGCAGGAAAGATCCGACCCCCACCCGACGGGCGGCCCTGCCCCTGCCCGAGCGGCAGACCATCAGATGGGAGCTTAGCTTCCGCTTATCTCTGGGCACCTGGAGGGGGAAGTAAAGGCAGCGATTAATTGTACTAGGCGGGCGGTTTATGCAGCTTAAGTTCAGATAAAAAGTTTAATTATCCCTAAGCCCTACTACAAATTAATTAGCCTTCCATATCGGGAGGGTGAGCTTCCCCGCTCCCGCCACAGCCCAGACGGCGCTGCGGATTGAGAGGGTGCTGGGGGGAGGTGCGCAGGGAAGCTGGGCCCCAGCCCCGCCAGCCAGGGGCAGGCGGCTGCCCCCCCGCGGTCCCAGGTAAAGTCCGGGTGTGGGCCCGATGCCTGGGGCGAGCACCGTAGCTCATCGGTACCTGGGATGTCGCCCCCAGGAGGGGCTTTCTTGTCCCTTCCTTTCCTCCAGGCGCAGAGCCGGGAGAAGGTAGGAGGGCAGGGGCCTTATTGGCATGAGAGGAGGGAGGCCAAAAAGGGAACAAAGACACAGCTTCCATTTTTTTTGAGGCCAGGACATTTTTCGTTTTTCTTTTTCTCCTCTCTTTCCTCAAAGTTCCACAGAGAAAATAGGCCACCGAAGCCTTTAGGACTGTAAGGCGGGGCCCAGGGGGCACCACGGCCCCTGGCGGGCACGATGGGCCGCAGCAGCTGCCACTGGATGGCGAGCGGTCCCGTGTCGCAGGCACGTCGTCTCTGCAACAACGGGTTTTCTTCATTCGCTCACACGTTCCAGCAACACTCACTGAAGCGCTTGGAGCAGGGGGATGACGCCCTGGGATGTGTATTTTTAGAAGACGCTCTTTGTAAATTAAAGGGGAACAAAATCGGGAGCGAGAAGCCTGGTTAAGAGGCTTCTGCCTAAGTCCAGTCTAGAAACCACGGTGGTCTGAGTCCAGGGTTTATTTAAAGCCAGACTTATTTAAAGCCAAGCTCCTACTGTGCGCCAGAAGCGAGCATTCCAAATAGTAACTCATTTAATCCTTCCAATAACCCTGTGAAGCGGTACCGTTGTTTTATCAATCGCAGGAAACTGAGGGCAGGGAAGCCAAGTAGAGCGTCCAAAGTCGCCGTCTGATAAGTGGCAGGGCCAGGGTTTGCTCCAGGTAGCGTGGCGCTGTGCGTGTGCCGCTGAGGCGGGGCGACGGGAAGGGTGAGCTCCGGCTGACTCCGCAGGGCCTCCCCACCCCTCTCCGGGCCCCAGGGAGCAGATGGGAGGACTGCGCAGGGCAGTGGAAACGGACCCACCTGGGCTCGAACCCAGGCAGTTCCGCCTCTTGCTGCCTGAGTGATCTTGAGCAGGTCACTGACCTCCCTGGACCTCAGCCCCGCATCCCTCTGAGGGGTAACCCTACTGGATACGTGGGGTCATTATGGGACCCCGTGACGCACGTGAATTTCCTAGCCCAGGCCCTGCCCACTTGTCCCCATTTCTTTGACTGTTTCCCCTGTGAGAGGGTTTCCAGACAACTCACCACCCCAGCCCCCCTCCTCTGGACATGGTCCAGTTCATCCGTGTCCCATAGAATATATGGTGGCCTGAACTCCACACGGAAGTGGCCTGCCCCAAGGGGGCCACATTCCCCCAAAGTTGCGCAGTTATTTTTTGGTGGAGCTGGGTGGGTCTTGAACCCAGGTCACCTGACTCCAGAAGCCAAGTTCTCAACCGCTTCGCTGGCGGCCACTCCTGAGGATGGTGGCCGAAAAGTAAGCGTGGTGTCTGTGTTCCTAGGAGCTCTCGCAGGCCTCGACGCTAGTGGCATGACTGAGACAGTTTGAGCCGGGACAAAGGCCTGGACACTGAAGGAGAGGAAGACACTGCTCGAGATGGGAGCCGACTTCTCGGGGTGTGAGAGGCGTAGGTGAAATCATTCATTCGCTCACCAAACACATGCCCACCGCGGCCCAGCCCCAAGGCCCTCAGGTGTTCCCGGGGTGAGGAGCCCATTCTTCTGACCGTGCTGGAGCCCACGCTGGGGCCCCCTCACGACAAGTGACTTGGAGCCTCACTATTTCAGCAGCAACGATTCCTGGTCCTCCTAAGCCTGTTTCTGCTCCAGAAGCCGTGAGATGGTGTTTCTGGCTGTGGCCAAAGGAGTCTCACCTGCTCTTTGCTTAATAAGTCCTTGAAATTATCTCAATAAAGAGGAGACTAGACACTTAACTGCTGTGGAGAGTTTTACTGATTGGAGGAGAGAGGCCCTGGCCCAGCTGCCCGGGGCTGCGGGGGACCCAGCCAAGTGGTCCCAGGGGGCAGCTGCCGCAGTGTGAAGTACTTAAGGGTTTCTCGGAGCAGCTCCGAGAGGAGCCAGCTCTGCCCCAGAGTGGCTTCCCGGCTCAAGGGCCTGAGTTTTGGAGCTCGGGGTTCTCCCTCACTCAGCGTGGTTTGTAGAAAAGAGATGAAAGCAAGAGGAGTGGGTTTCATCCCAGCTGTACCCGCCCGAGGGCAGTTCACCTCACACCTCAGTGGCTGCGTCTGGAGAATGGGCTCTAGGACGCCATGTTCACAGGGTCCATGTGTAAAAGTGCTTGCAAATTAGAGCCCGGCCGGGCGTGGCTCGGCGGTTGAGCGTCGGCCTAGGATCCAGGGGATCGGGGTTCGATTCCCGGTCAGGGCACATGCCCGGGTTGCGGGCTCCATCCCCAGTCGGGGGGCATGTGGGAGGCAGCCGATCAATGACTCTCTCATCATAGATGTTTCTACCTCTCTCTCTCCCTCTCCCTTCCTCTCTCTGAAATCAATAAAGATATATTAAAAAAAAAAAAAGTGCTTGTAAATTAGAAATCTCCACGCCGGTGGAAGGTGGGTTTGTTACGTGTTATTTATTACCACGAATGAGACCGTGTTGCTTTTCTGTTTAAACTTCACCCATGGCTCTTGGTTGCGCCGTGTGATCGGGCCCCTGCCTACCGCCCCCACCCCTTTTGTGTAACTGCTTCCTCCCCCAGCCCCGCTGGCTCTTTAACCTTGACTAGAACAAGCTAAGCCCCTTCTACCTCAGGGCCTCCGTACTGTCTGTTCCCTCTGCCCGGCACACTCTTTCCCAGGGGCGAAGGTCCTTTCAGATCCGTTTAAATGTTCTCAGAGAGGCCGACCCTGACCACACTCCCCGACCTGGCACAGCACCCGTGTCCCCTCCAGAGAAGTACCCAGAGGTCATGGTGGTCTTATGAGTTCACTTACCTGTTTATGGTCTTCACCTTGCAGGGTGTTGGCTCTGTGAACATAAGGGTCTTGTCTGTTTTGTTCATTCCCGGGTCTTATCGCAGCACCTGACACATATCAGGAACTCTGAACAGTTGTTGAATGGACAGATGGACGGGTGGATGGATGGATGGATGGATGGATGGATGGATGGATGGATGGACGAGTGAACTAGTCAGTGATTGGCAGGGGACTCTGACTTGTTTCCCCAGTGGCCCCTCTTCCTTACACCTGTTTCTCTCCCCCTCAGATATGGAGACATGGTGCCCAAGACGATTGCTGGGAAGATCTTCGGGTCCATCTGCTCGCTGAGTGGTGTCCTGGTCATCGCCTTGCCGGTCCCCGTGATCGTTTCCAACTTCAGCCGGATTTACCACCAGAATCAGAGGGCTGACAAACGCAGGGCACAGAAGGTAAGCCCGAGACCCAGGGCGGGGCGGGGCTGCTGGACCAGAGTGGGGCCTGGCCCTCTGCCTTGGCACCTGTCACAGTCTGGTTGCCAGGCCCGGAGTTCCTGGGGGACTTCAGCAGACGCCCTCGGGCTTTGAAAGGTAAGGTAGCTTCATGTCCCCTCCTCCTACCAGTGCATTCCAGCCCCAGCCAGCTGCAAATGCAACAAGCCCTCAGTGATCCAAGGCTGATTATCTCCTTTTTGGATATTCTGTGCAATTTCCTGGGGCCCTGGCTCCCCTTCCTAGATCTCAGCCACCGCCACTCGGCAGTGCTCTGGACGCCTCCCTCTCCCAGCCCGGAACTGCCTGGGGGACATCGCTTTTCAATACCCGACAATAGCCTACCCAGAGCACAGTGACAAAAATAAATCTGCTGAAAAGAAAAATGAATGAAAGAACGTTCCGAGGCCGTGGAGTTCAGGGGCAGACGGCACAGTGGCTTTAGTCACCTCGGGGTGTCTCAGGGTCAAGGCACAGAACTGCCATGAGGATCAGGAGCAGAACTGTGGGCCCTGGGAAAGTTCAGTGTGTCCAGTGTCCCCTGGTGGCGCAGGCAGGGTGGGGGGAGGCCCTCATGCTTCCTTCCCGAGTGGGGAGAGACAGCAGGAAGCTCGAGTGTGTGGACAGAAGCCGCCTGTCCTGACCGGTCTCCCCTTCCATCCAGAACAGCTCATCCACGCCCCCGCACCCCCCACCCTGCCTGACACCTGGCCAGTGAAGGTTCTTGGATGGTGGCTTTTACCAGGAAAGGGGAGACAGAGAGGGTTGCCATCCCTCGGAGCATGTCACTCCAGGGAGACTTCCGGGTGCAGCGGCCACAGGGACCTCAGTGAAAGGGTCACTTACGGAAGCCTGAGGTTTGGTGTCCCGACTTTATTCTTTCTTTCATTTCACTCCACAAACATTTACTGAGCACCTACTATGTGCCAGGCCCTATGCCCTGCAGCTGAGCTGCTTCCTCCTCGCGTGGTCCCTGCGGCTGGCCTGCCACCCACAGGGCAGGCCCCCCGAGGCGGGGCGGAACGCAGGTTTGCAGAGCCGGCCTGTGTCCTGAATGACATAAAGCCGCATGTGCACGTGAGCCAGCTCCTGAGTGTATACTGATTTACATGTAATAATGCTTAATAATAGAGTATAGGTTGCAAAATTATATAGTAAATCCCAGCACACGGCCTTCTGTGTGACCTTGTGGCCGCCCCTCCTCGCTCCGCTGTCTCCCTGCTCTGCCCTGCGAGATGTATCCTGGCTCATCCCGACCGGGGCCTGTTCTGCGGCCGGCCTGCGCTGCTCTGTGCTGTCCCCTCGCATCCCCCAGTGCCCGTTTCCTACCTTCTCACCCAAGGTCAGGGCTCCTCCCCCACTCCCCTGCTAGCCACCCCAGAAATAGAAGTCTTATCTCCTGCCTGTTCCCGTCAGCAGCCAGCTCGAACAAGCTCTGAATTCATGATGCCGCCCTGAGCAAGGGGCAGGGAGACACTGGGCTCTCCTTTCCGAATTCGGGAGCCTGAGGCCGAAGGCCCAGGGGGCCACCTGCAGCCCCCACCCCCGCCCGCCAGGAATGCGGCAGAGCCGGTGAGGGTCAAAGGAATTCTCAGCTCACCCCGGAGCCTAGGCTGTGCCCACAACAGCCGCACCCGAGCTGCGCTCCCCCGGGCTCCCGCCCCTTCCATCCTCGCGCCCCCGCCTGCCTCCTAGAGCATCCCATCCACGCGCAGGATGGAACAGTGGCCCTTTCCCCGGGGAATCTGCAAAGCTCGGCCGTGTGATTAAATCCAGGAGGAAGCCGCTTTGGCACCTTCCTCCCTCTGCCGGTGCCAAAGATGAGACTCCCGCCCTCTGCCCCCGCCGTCCACCCCCCT